CAAAACCAGCTAAGTCCGTGTCAGAGTGGTGGCAGCGTGCGAGCCGCTCCAGCGGGGGATGCGCAGCCACGGCAGTGCCCGGTCCACCGCGCGGAAGGTGCCGAGGGAGGGCGGGTTGACGAGGACGGCGTCGATGCCACGGTGTCCTCCGTCGCCATGAACGCGTACTCCGCCCTCTTCTCCTTAGATCACGGCTCCATCGTCTGCCACTCGATTAGATTAGATTAGATTAGCCTAAGGTGCAATCCTCCACGCCCTGTTACGGAGTTCACAGGTGGGAGGGACCGACCTACGGGACAGGGCCCACGTGCGGGCGTTAACGGGTGCGTGTTCACGAGGGAAGGAGGGACGGCGAGGAAGTATTAAAGACAGTGATTGGGAGAGCGGCTCGCACGCCGCCACCGCTCGGGAGCCGGGGTCCCCCACGCCTTGTTGCGGAGTTCACGGGTGGGAGGGATGACCTGCGGGACAGGGCCCACGTGGTCGTTCACGGGTGGGTGTTCACGGGATCACTAGCGAAGGAGGGACGGCGAGGAAGGTGCCGAGGGAGGTTGTCGACGTCACGGTGTCCTTCTCCGTCGTCCCACGGGACCTAACGATGCCACTCGATTATATTAGATTAGATTAACCTGAGGTACAATCCCCCACGTCGTTACGGAGTTCACGGATGGGAGGGATCACGGGAACTGCGGGACAGGGCCCACGCACGGTCGTTCACGTGTGCGTGTTCACGGGATCACGAGGGAAGGAGGAACGACGAGGAAGGTGCCCAGGGAGGGCGGGTTGGTGAGGACGGTGTCGATGTCGCAGGGGAAGAACTCGGTGGCGGCGAAGCGGCGGCGGTACAGGGCCTGGGCATCGGCGGGGGTGAGGCGGAGGATGGCGACGCGTGGGGGAAGGGGAAGGCGGTTGGGGCTAACACGGGGTGCACCGGGATGGCGGGGGTGTGGAACTTGGAGTAACCGCACCGCCTAGAGAAGAGGCGGAAAGACGATTAGTTGTCCTCTTCTGGCGTCATGTACGCGTACCCCGCCCCCTTCTCCTTAGACCACTCCTCCATCCGCTACACCAGCTTCAGTGCGAGCCCCCTTCGCCAAGGATGTCACTCGATTAGATTAGTATTAATGACAGTGATTAGTGTGATGGGGAAGATTAACGTGTGGTGAGAGTCACCGGCAACAGGCGGAGCCGCGGAGGTCCACCTTCGCATAGATGGGGGCGGTGTGGTGCTTCGAAGGTGAGGGTAATAACAAGGCAAGAGGGTTGCCTCGGGCCACGGTGCGATGCACCCGTGGACAAGCCCAACGATCTCCTTCTCCGGCCCGCTGACCATCTCCGCCATCTTTATTAACATTATGATTGTGCTTCTTCGCATACGCAAACTTACTGAGGAGAATAAGATCACAGAAGGATGTCCAAAGTGCGTTAACTCAGAAACAGGAGATGATCGGAAAGAATGGAACACAAAAAAATATAAGAAAAAAAGAGAAGGAATACGGACCAGCATGAGGAAGGAGGGGGAGCGACGGACACGGCAGAGGGGATCGCCGAGGAGGTCGGTCCCGCTGCGCGTCGTACCCCCTGATCACCACGACAGCCATAGACTCCACCATCCTTATATGGCAGCCAATTATAACGGGGGCGTAAGGGATGATTCAAGTGTTTCTCCCTCTGTCCTCTCACGAGGCTCGATCACTTAGTATGCAGCAAGCAAAGAAGAACAAACAGAGACATGCCGCTGCAGCTTGTGTCTTCAGATAGATATGTATGTATCTAGTCTTTCCCAAGTAGGGGAAGTAAGTGATGCCAGTGGAACTTCTCTCTTATTCAGAAAAGAGTAGTTGGAATGAAGTGAAAGGCAGCAATGGTGGGGGGCTCTTTATACTACTTTCCTTTCCCTGGTCGGTTGAGAGAAAAGAGATTGGGAAGGAGAAGGTATGGGGTTCAGTCAGTAGTTGGGACGAGGTGCGGAGGTGCGGTTACTCTCTCCGTCCCTCTTTTTATATATAGCATCAGCTCATCAGTAACAGAGCGAGAACAGAAAAAGACCAAACTGAGAGAGACAAAGAGTGCAGTGTGCATATACATGGCTGTAAAAGATGCACAGGTAGAGGGGTTGAACTTCCAAATGGAAATGGCAACTATGGCTACGCGGTCCCTATGCTTACTTCCTGTGTCCATAATGGAAATGCCATGGTTATTCCGTTCCCACGTCCATAATAGCATATTCGAAGGATATGATGTGTATCTACATATATACGTACATAGAGATACGTTATGTATATACATACATACGTATATAGAGATATGTTACGTATATAGAAATATGTTAATCGGGAAGGGATGAAGAGAGGTCAATGTAGCACGAATAGTGTTAAAAAATTTAGATAAGTAATAAAATATTTAAAAATAAGTATTAAATTTATTTATTTTTTAATGTGAATTAAAGACTCATATTTTTTTAGGACAATATATAATGTCTTTTCTATTGGTCCATGACTCAAAAAAAATTGATGGAATTAACTTACTAGAAACTCTATTCAAATTATACATAACTATCTTCATAGCTTTTTATCACATTGAATCGGGTACAAAAGAATAACCTAACATATTCTTAATCATATCCATAAGAATATAATTTCATCCGATTTATAATAAAATTATAACATAACTATCACTCTTTGGATCTTCGGAAGATGAAGCGATTAAATATTATACAAACAATGAACCATGACCAAATGTTAATTGGAGTGACAAACGACACAATTGAATCAACACGGAATATAATTAGTCAATTAATTAAACTTACCTATGTTTTTTTAGATATACACATGACAACATCTACTCAACCATTGGTACAAGGAGTCCAATAATAACGAATATATATATATATATATATATATATATATATATATATATATATATATATATATATATATATATATATATATATATAATAATAATAATAATAA